ACGGGTTGCCCAGAGAAGCTGTGGCGGCCCCCTGCCTGGCAGTGTTCAAGGCCAGGCTGGGTGGAGCTCTGAGCAACCCGGTCTGGTGGAAGGTGTCCCTGCTCATGGCAGGGGGGGTGGAACTTGGTGATCTCTAGGGTCCCTTCCAACCCAAACCGTTCTGTGATTCTGTGATTCCATGAACGATGCGTGACCAAGCCAAAGTGTCCAAGGGCTGTCTGAACACCTCACAACTGAAGGTCCTTCATGCTGCTTGCTTTCCCCAGGTTGCCGTCCTGCACAGATGGAAGGTAAACCGCTTTGCTGAGAAGATCTTCTGGCACGACTCTCCTTCAGGTTCTCTCCAGCCACTCAGCCCCAGTAAGGAGGAACGCAGGGTTTGCCTGCAACAGCTCTGTGCCAGGATCGTGAAGCCTCATGGCTTCAATGAGCTCTGCTTCAGGGAGCTGTTGTGCCAGTGCAGAGAGCTACTGGTTTCAGCCATGCCCGCACAGCTATGTGCAGGAGAACGCGGTACGTCCTCCTCTCTCAAAAACCAACACTTTAACTTCGCGGGGCTGGGTATTTTGCCCATCAGCCTTCCGATTCCTGCAACGGCTGCCATGGCATCGCAGCATCACCTCCCCAGCTGCCCCTGCCGCCTGCCACTGTGCTGCCGTGCCTCTGCTAGTGCCCGGCTCAGCCAGCCCATTCCCATCGCCAGCCTGCACCCATGGCTGTCCCACCTTCACCCAGGGATGGTGACGAGGAAAATGCAGCCATGCAGAAGAGGGTAGCGAGAATGGTCCTAGTGAGCGAGGGCAGCTGGACCCTGAGCGTCCTCGAGATGGTGAGCAGATACTTCAGGCCAGCAATTGGCTCTAGACACACTGCATCTCCTCCAGCTGACAGCCCCAGAAAACTTGCTTCTGCCCTCCCAGACTCCAGTGTATTTCGGTGGCATCTGGCATTTTACCATCACTCAAGTCTTAAGCACAGTTTTCAATGATTATAGCTCAAAATGAATATAGAAATAGGTAGAAACATCCATTTTTTCAGGTGGAAAGTGAGGAAAACCACTTGTCCGATATCAGCCAGCACACCAAGGGCACAGATCACTGATACTCCTGTCCCGTGGCCTGTGTGGTAGCATTCCTCCATCTGTTCACGGTTAATAAATCTGCACCCTAATGAACAGTGCTGTTATTTCAACATATTGAGAAGAGAATTTTTAGCAGAAGAATCATTATATTTAAAATATTTCCCTTAAACACAGTCCTATTTGATTGAAATATTAAATAACATTTGGACACCTAACAACAAAGGTTAAGAACATTTCTGGGTGCACTGCTACTGGAAGTGATGTCTGAACTTGTCTCAAACTTTAAGAATTTATTAGAAATAAATAAGGAGGGTGGAGAAGAGGTGTGCAGAGGCTTTTGTCTAAGTGTTTATTTGTTTTTATTTCTTAGTATTTGTTTTTATTTCTTAATAACAAAATAATTAAATATTTATGTTAATTTATAATAAATTGAATTGATTTAAATTCCCCAACTAAAAACTCATTTATTTGTTGCCCAGACCAATGTGTATATTACTACATACGAGCTACTGACAGTTTCTTGTCTTCAGATGTGTTTCTTTGCAACTTCAAGAGCCTTCTAGTTTTGATGGTAGCAGTGAAGACAGAAAGATGTGGTAGGGAAAGCACTGTGTGTAAAAGTCGATCATTTGTGATGATAATGGATGCCCTCTGTATTTCAAATTAGTTGTGTGGTTTTTTCTCCCAAGAACTTGGACTCTATCCAAGCTATCTGGAAAAAACCCTTTTCTCATTTGCAGAGTATGACTTATGGAAGTGGCTGCAGAGCCTCTGTGTATCACCTTCTGCAGGGCTTGGAAACTTTCATAGTTTATAAAAGGGCCTTATTCTGAAGAATCCTTTTTTATACTGAAGTTCACAGGTAAACATTGCTGGAAAAAGAAATTCAATGCCAAACAGCACATACCGCAGGGATGTCATGTGATCTCGCCTGATAAATTTAGCCAAAACCCAGTCTCTGTGGCTTCCTAGATGAGACTTGCATGACTTACAATCTCAGATGAAACGCAGAAATCGTTTCCCAGAAAAGCGTCGGTGTTGCTGTTGCAGAATTACCGTGTGTCAGGTAGGAGGGCAGCTGAGAATGCTGAACAGGTTTCACAGGAGTGCCAGAACAGGGGGAAGAGCAGGGCGGAGGAGGGAAAGTTTGCGCAGTCCGCAGGTCTTGAACATCTCCAGAGAAGGAGACTCCACAACCTCCCTGGGCAGCCTGTTCCAGTGCTCCGTCACCCTCAGAGTGAAGAAGTTCTTCCTCATGTTCAGGTGGAACTTCCTCTGCTCCAGGATGAGCATGTGTCCCACCGGCAGCATCATGAGCACACGGGTAGGCATCCCACTGCCTTCCCCTCGGAGTCCTTAGGATAGGTGGGGTGGTGGCTGTGCCGTGGGGTGGGTGCTGTGGGACCTGGTGATGCTGAGTATTAGGGATATTTGATCCTGGCATCATGAATGTTCGTATCATGCCATTCCTGGAGTTTCCACTGTAAACAGACGTGGGTGAAAAACGTGCCAGTCTGCTGTGCAGGACGAGACCTACAACAGGTGCTGTAATGGAGGAATTACTGTGGGTATTTGCATTCTGCAGAGGATTTTTACATGAGGGCAGAAATGTGTTGCTTTTAATCTGTTTCTCTGTTCACAGCTTTTGAGGCCCGTAAAAATGAAGTGACTAAACAAACTGTGACTGTTCTGTTACTACGAACAACTTGAGAAAAAAACTACAGGTTCTCTGGGTGACAGCCTCAGTTAACAAATGAAGAAAACAGCCCTAAGACCTCTGTAAAACACAGACCCTATCTGCACGCTGCTGGCAGTAATGAACAGGACCAGTGGCTCGTCGTACTGTGAAGGACATGTAAGCCCATGCCGCACGTGCCCAAGGGCTCTGCTCCCATGTCTCCCCTTGCACATCTCCAGCCCAGTTCCAGCTCCTCTGCTTGCCCATTTCCCCGCATTCTGACAAGACTTGCTAACAGGCGTCAGTAACTTTTTCTACTCCTGGCAAGGTTCAGAGGTGGGACTGGATGGGATAAGAAGGTTTGCAGCAACAGCAAGATCTGTATCTGTGCCTTGCAGCCTCTCGCCTCCCTTCCCTTGCCTCTGGTACAAAGTCCCTGTTCCGAGCAGGAGTGAGGGTGTGCTTCTCGGTGAAAGAGCACCAGGACTTCTCGTACTTGTTTGTGCCACCGAAGTAATCGGTGAGACTGTAGTGCTTTCTTGATATGAGACTTGGTTTAGAATAACATTAGCCTGAATGCTTAAAACTTGGACAAAAATTTAAACCACTGAATATAATAGTGTTGCTTCACCTTAGTTCTGTGTAGCATTCTATCCTAGAACAAGATGTTGCTTTATATAGCAAAGTTAAGCAAGAACTAACTAAATATAACTAACTCAAGCAATAATACAAAGAATCAGTGTTTTTTACTGGGGTGTAGCTGTTCCTCTGTAGCTCTGCTTCCCGCCATTCCCACTGGGGGCTGATGCTGAAGAAAGGGGAGGGGACCTTGCCAGCTGTATGGGGACAGTATTGTCGCACCTCTGGAGACAGGTTTATCTGCACAGAGATTGATCAGTGGGGTCCGCACATCAACTTCAAGTTTCCACAGGGGAAAAGGAACAGAAAGAGAAGGAAGGGGGAAACTGCCCAGTGTCCAGCCAAGAACTGAAGCAATGGAGCCCCCAGAAGACGTCCTTCCCAGTGCCAGCAAGCGGTGAGGATGAGGAAGGTGGCTATAACTGTTCTGGTCAGGCTTTCTCCTCTGTTAACTCTGTGCTCGGCACTAGGACCCAGCCAAGCTCCCTCTTGGTTGTTCCTGTATATGGTGCTGCCAGTGCTGACAGGATCACATTTAGTCAGCCGCAGGTGGTGCACACCGGTCACTCCACTTTGTGCCTGTTTATGGCTGGCAATGCTTATGGGGTATTTACATGACTATTACCTAATTTTCTATTTGCTAACTCTTGTTTTTCCCCTAATGTAAATGAAAGTTACAAAACGGGTAGAAAACGCAGGGGGAAGAAAGAGGGGATTCTCAGACTGCTAGCAATCGCTTTCCATGAGAACATATTATAATACTGAGATCTGCAGGTGGAAGGCCATGAGAATAACAGCACAAAGGCGACAGCTAGGAAGCAGAAGGGACAAAGACTGGTGCGGGAGCTCAGGTGAAAGGCTGCAGGGCTGCAGGTGAAAGGCGGGCTGCAGAAGGGCGCACAGAACGCCCTTGGCATTGGAAAGGTGAAGGCACTTGTGCACGTATGTGTGCCGCAGTTGACGTGTCTGGCGTTTGCTGTTCAGTGCTAAAATAGGATTTACACAATGAAATTCTGATTACAGGATTGGACCTGGGGGCCCACACGTTAGAATTTCACAACCAAGGAGGCAGGAAAGTGCTCGCACCGTTTCTGCACTGCATGGCTAAGCTCAAGCTCTGCGGTTAAGCTCAGTCTCTATGCCAGAAAGAAAAAGTGGGTTCTGTTAAATTTCTTAAATGTGAACTGTAACTTTAAGCTTGTTTCCCTGTTCTTACTTTCTCCCATTGCTGGGAACCGCATGGCATGAGCGTCAACTCTTAGAACATACCTGTTCATCAGTGGTTAAAGTTTTAGCAGGCTGCGGCATGACTAGCATATCGTTATCGTCAGTTGCAATCTTTGTCCTAATGGTTGTGAGTATGTGTGAGATATGGTATTGGGAGAATAAACAGCATAAAGTCAGCGTACAGAATTCTGGATTTTTTTCCTAGAAATACAATTCATACTCCATAAAAAATACTGGGTCCAGAGAGATGTTGTCAGCTATTTCTTTATAAGCTAAGAAGTTTTTCTGCTAAACAATTAAACGTGACACAGGGCAATTTTGTGATCCAGACTTTAACATAAAAACAGAGTGACTGAGGTCACATCTATTCATTGAAACCCAGATCTCTCAAATTTCTAAGTTTACCAGGCCAAAATGGAGAGAATAAAAGAATAAAGTGGTGGTCTTACCCAAAGCTGGGAGGAAACAAGCCCACCTGGCTCACTTGGTTAGTTTGTCAGAGGAATAAATGCTCCTGTGATGCTGACAGCTGAACATATCCGAAGTAAATAATGCCCCATCTTCATGTTTACCACCTTGGCTGCTGTCATCTTCTTTTCTTTAAAGAAAAGGAGAGCCCCCAAAGACATGACACACACGACACTGTTGTCAGCCTGTTACCGGTGGGCAGTTGCATCAAAGGCTGGAAATGGCCCCAGGATTTCCGTGGTGGAACTGAGAACCAGACCCCGCACCCATCCAGCTCTGTCATCGCAAAGCTCTTCCCCACCCTCCACCCTTTTGTCGTTGCGCTGTGAGCTCTGTAAGGCACCCTGTCAAAAAGCAGGTCTGCCCTCGCAGCCTGGCGTTAAGAGGGGAACAAGAATGGACGCGCTGTGGGTCTGCTACAGTCTTCATATGTTGATTTGTAGAAAGCCACCCCTTCTCTGAACCCAGGAACTCACAGCTAGCAATGGAAGGGGTGAAGAGCATGACCCAGTTACGTTTTAAAGCCACTCTTTGTGTTGTAAAGCACATTAGGGAATAACTTCAGGCCAAAGGCTGGAGACCAAGGTTTCATGGTTTCTTAGACATAGAAAACAGCCCATTGTCCTTATCCTGTATACAGAAATTACATGCTGTACATTCTCACTAATGTCAGCCAAATCTCCATCCTATAATTAGCACATACTTACACTGCCAAGTCCCCTGCTTGCTTTCAAGTGGGTTTCTTGTTGAGCTGTTATTATACATTTTTACCATACTCATTATTCAGGCTTTTGTTTAAATTGCTCTGCTTTACCTGTGTATTTCTCTCATGCAACAGCTGACACTCACCTGCTGTTGCTACAGGTATGTCCCATTCCACCAAAATCCCTGGTGTCTCTGCTGCCATTATGGGTCTTCCCAAAACAAACAGGAAGCTGCTATCAAGTTAAAGAGGAAAGGGAGAACTCCAGTCCCGTCTTCTTCTGCCTCAACTCTTTCTTGCAGACTGCTGCTCCAGGGAAACTGTACAATGTATGCAGTTCATCAAGGCTTTCTCTGACTCCGTTTTTTATTTTCCAGGTTAGTCTTTTTTTGCCTGTAAGACATATATGTCAGCCACCAAAAGCAGAAGTAATTTTCAGTTCTGAAAGAAGCTCATTCTCTACATTTTTAAAATATTGTTGTAAGAGCTCTGTCTTCCAAACAAACAGCAAAGAAATGGGAAGCTTTTCTGTATTGCAGCAGTTCATGTTCTGTCTGATTTACACACAGAAAGCATTGTCAGCCTCATTTGTCCTTCCACAGGAAGAAGCATCTGAAACTGCTTCCTTTGTGTAGTAAAAGTGTACTGAGAGATGAAAATGAGACTTCTTGGACTCTCTGAAGCCAAATCAGACAAAAGGAGCCTGGAAAGTAAACTAAATTAAAATCCACAGGAATTTCATACAAAGCAGAGTTGTGTGGCAAGAGCTCTGCAAAGGCACAGACTGGATCCTCAAGGGTTATTTTGGGCCTCTGGTGAAGTAGCATAGGACTTTCAAAGGCAGCTTGGGGGCTGATCTTCCTGTGCCTTTTTCTGTGTTACTACTGTTAGTTGCAGTCTAGTAAGAAATCTAACGAAGGACCAGCAGGGTTAGTTCTGCTCTGACAGGCTCGGGTGTGAGTGTGAAGCAGCCTCGTGATGCCCACAATGACGGGGCTTGTCTGCAGTGCTTCCTACAGCATCATGCACATGTGAAGCAAAGCTCATTGCTGAACACAACAGTTTGAGGTCTCGGCCAGGAGAAAACAAACAGGTACCTCTGTCAGGTTGTTAGCTGCCCCATATGGGGCAACAAGAAAATTCAGTGCCGACCAAAAGGCTGGGTGTTTCTCCTGGGCACTACCATCTCTCTGTACACTTTTGTAAGCTGTTATCTGTTTCGCATTTCATTTCTTACTCACTTTGATCTTAACTCTGACTTCAAGCTATGTGTTTTGCCTTTTTTTTAAAGTTGATGGCTCACTGCAGTGCTAACAGACCCAGTCACTGAGTTGGATGGTCCTTAGCACTGGTACTTATTCCCCCATGTTCCTTTGGGGTGTCCAAAGGAACATGCGAGTGCCCCTGTGTGTGCCATAGGCTGGGCTGTGAACCTCCAAAGGGACTCTACGAAGGGCAGGAGTCTTCCCTTAATCAGTGACTGCTGGCAAAAGACAAAACCTTTGCAAGTGCATTGTCACGGCTGAATCTCTGCTCCTCAGATTGTCCCACGCTGCCTTCTACTCAGGAAAGTTCAGGACACTCCTTGCCTGACCATCCCTTTTAATTCAGCCTGGTGTTTTCTACAGGACCAGACAGACGCCTGCTTGAACACTTGCGTAAGCCTGCCTGCCCCAGTCAGGCAGAGCAGTGTTTGCAGCACCCGCCATAGCAGTCCACTGCAGGCGCCTGGAGCAGAAGACCACTCTCCTCAAGATTCCCTGTTCGAATCGGGCTCCTTATGGGCTTCTGTCCCCTGTTACTGACCCAGAGGGAGCACGCCTTCCTCTCGTGTAGATGTCTTTAGCTCTCTGTGCCCTGGTTTCTCACCTGTGGAGCAGGGATTTAGGGTCAGCATTAAAAGCAGCATTACAAATGCTGAACTGCTGTCAAGCAGGGTGCAACCAGATGCTGTGGTAAAGCACCGGTAGAGCAGAAGGACCACGGTCTACCAAAGGTGAATTTGTTATGAAATAATCTCCAGAAGTGACAGAAGTGTTACGGCAACACGCAGTGTCCCCACAAGTAATTTCCGGACTGGCAGGTAAGCAAAGGGCAAATTAACTGGCAGTGACTTGCTTTGAAATATTGTGTGTATTTAATTACAGATGTTCCAGGAATACAGATATGATACTTCACAGACTCTCCTTTTAAAAACTTTCCTTACATAAAGAGAAGGTGTGGGAGTGTGAGGGAGAAGATGTCTGGTTGCTCTTCCTCTTTAAGGATTGCTCTTAATCGAATGGATCATGTTGTGATGCTGCTTTGCCATGCCTTGGTAAATGAATTGATCTTTCAAACATTAAATTTCCAATGTTTTCTGCAGGAAAACTAGAAAAACCCCAACAGACAAACATCTGTTTCACTGCTACATTCTGTTCTCTTTATCAGCAATTTTCCAAGGAACTTCCCAACAGCAGCATCCCTGTCCTGTCCCGTGTGCCGCTCCCTGACAGTGCCGGACAGCTGGTGTCCACAGAGGTGCTCTCAGCCCGCTTGATGGTTTTTATTCTGGTCCTGGCCACACCAGTGTAGCTCTGCTACACTACTGCACACGCAGGGATACAAAGCCCTCCACACAGACCATGGGAGCAGGGCTCTGCCTGCTCGTTCGCTGACCCCCAGCATGGCAGGAGAGTGTTATAACCCCCCACCTCCGCTCATCACACCAGTTGTCTGCAAGTCAGACCGCTTGCCTTCCTGTGGTTAGGGAGCAAATTGCCGCCCACCTCGCTGCCCTTGACTTCTGTTCCCCGTGGCTGGGTCTCTGGAAGCCGCACCTCCCCCGCAGACACCCCCCTCTTGCCCTGCCCTTCTGGAGCCCT